GTAAATCGGAGGAGGAGGAGGGGAGGGTACAGAAAAGGATAATGGGGTGGGTACGGAAGAGGAGGGGAGGGTACTGAAGAGGTGGAGGGGGAGAGTATTCAGGAGGGGAGTGGAAGGTATGAAGGAGGGGAGGGTATGGAGGAGGAGGAGGACACGAACGAGGAGTGGAGGGTACGGAGGAGGAGGACACGTAAGTGGTGTTGAGGGCACGGAGGAGGAGAGGAATGTCCGTACCCTCTCCTCCTCCTCCTTCATAACCGTGTCCTCTTCCTTCATACGCTCCCCTCCTCCTGGTTACGGGGGTGGAGGAGGTGGAAGAGGGGACATGGAGGAGGAGGACACGGAAGAGGAGCAGGGGAGGATAAGGAGTAAGAGAAGGGGAGGTTGCGGAGGAGGAGGAAGGTATGGAATACCCCCTCCTCCTCCATACCCCTTCCCTTTTCCTGCAAACCCTCGCCTCCGCACTCTCCCCTCCTCCTCCTCATGAAATACGCTCTAATTTCGCATTAGAGATATGTAAAAATCTTTCCTTTTGTTTTTCCTAAAAGAGACAATTTCACGTGGACGGGTATTGGTCTCTTGGAATACAAATAGCACCATAGTTGTACGGCACGCATCGGGAGTAATCAAATCACTGGCCATCAATTGCTTCTCAGAATAATGTTCTAATTGGCCGATTGCTTTCTTGCGAAGTTTTCATTTGATTAATATATGGATAGTTGCTTTAAGCACTCGAATTACCATAACCTCTACAATACCTACACACGACCTGCCTTCTTTTTCGTTTACCACAAGCTTCTTTAAAAAAATTCAAAGTGATATCCTGTCGACAAAGGTATCAGAAGTGGTAGAATGAGGGCTCACGTTACAAAGTTTAGGATGCCAAAGCACTGCGAGAGTGAAACCGCACTCTAAGATATCTGTAGCGTCTACTTTTCCGCAAAGCATTTGCGAGAGGCAATTGCTCCGATATACGCAGGAAAATCGGCCAATGACAAGCCTGAAAAAACGAGTCAATCTAAAAGGAAAAAAAATCATCCAGTGCTGTGACACTAAGCATTAGATAACACTAATCGAAGCGCTAACTTTTTTTTTTTTTTAAATGTAGACAATATTTTATTTTTTTTATTCGCTGACCTCTGTTTATACATTACTTTGATTGACACTCCCAAGTACTTTGCGTCCCGCAAATCACTTGGGAGTGGCACATATGGAGAGTTAAGGCCCGTTCACACTCTTGCAACCGAGTACGACCGAGAGAGACCAAACCGGTTTTTAAGCCTCTTGCGATCTCTTAGGACCAGCTCCGCTCAGCGCATCCGGTCTCAAGAAGTCTTTCTCGGTCGTACTCGGTTGCAAGAGTGTGAACGCGCCTTTAGACGCTCCATATTTCTTAAAGGCTGACGTACACTTCGCGCTTTCCGATTTTGTCCACCTCCTCCCCTTTCCTATGTTCTCTTCACTCTTTACCTTGCTTCAACTTGGCTCGCCTCGCAGCTTAGGAGAGGGACAGCGCTAAGAGGATTATCTTCCCTGCAGAAATCCGAGCTTGTACGTCGGCCTTTAAAGGGGGGGGGGGGGGTGCAATGATTTCCGGACTTCTGCCAAACATTTGTGGAAGTTGCCTTCTGACACTTCTAAACTAAAGAGCAGAAAACCGATTTCGCCTGCGTGTCCTAGTTGTTGTGTAGAAAAAAGAAAAGAAAATATAAATATTGGCATTTCTGGCACCCCTCAACTCACTCCCAGTCTTTAGGGTCACACCTGGTCCGCCTCCTACTGACGTAATTTGGGGTACCGTGTAGCTTCCCGTGTGCTCTCTCGGAGGACGCTTCCTCTCCCTCTCTCTGCTTACACTAGCGGGCGCTATGCTGCAACTTAGAACCGAGCGAGGTCACGCAAGCTTCTCGACTTAGTTCCTTCGGCTGCCACTCGCGGGTGCAGAGGGGGGGGGGGGGGGGAGCTCGACTTTTTTTTTTTTGCGATTATGCAGAGGGATCGCGACATTTTTTTTTAATGAAGGAGGTGTTTTTTTGTATCCTCCGGGACACGATGAAGAACGTAAAAATGACGAAATTCTTTTAATGTTAAAATCGTTGGACCTCCTCCCCCCCCCCCCCCCCCCCCCCCCCCTTTAAGGACAATTCCGCGGTCGTTTTGGAGCTCGCTGGTATCGACTTTTCTGGAGCGCGCCTATTTCATTGGGCGATCGGGACGGAGACAGTTCGAACCGGTTCGAACCGTTAATTTTGCTCCCCAGTACTGAACCGGAACTGAGCCGAAAGCCGTGAACCCGAACCCGAACCGAACCGATACAAATTTTGGTTCGACACTCTACATAGGTGTTATGATGATTTTGGGGGTTTATGGACTCTACGTAGATGTACTGTGCTGCAAAAATTTTCTTAGAACTAGGTGTGGACGTCACAAGAAGTGAGAGGAGGTAAGGGGGAGGAAGGGGATATATGAGAGGCCGTTAATTGAGGTCATTTTCCCCGCTAAGTTTGGCGGAAATTTTGATGTCAAGATAACCGCTAAATTTAGCAGGGAAACTAAATTTGTTATAGTTCACGTGGCCTCAAGTGTCGACATAAATTTTCTGGCAGAATTTAGCGAGTAAACTGAGTTGGTGTATAGGTGACGCGACGTACGGTCACAAGACACCAATTTTCCCGTCAAATTTAGCGGGAAAACGAAGTGGTGTATAGGTCAAGTGACAATAATTTTCGAGACAAATTTAGCGGGGAAACATAACTGGTCTCTAGGTCACGTGATATCAATTTCCCCGCTAAATTTAGCAAAGAAACTGGAATTTTTGTATAGTTGACGTCACGTCAAGTCACGTGATATCAATTTATTCGGCAAAAATTAGCGGGGAAACTGAATTTGTGCATATATCACGTGACCCAACGTCACCTGACATACTGGAGAGAGACGTAACTTCCGTAACCAAATGTTTGTGACATTGAATTCCCAACTTTGCAGCCCCCTTCAAAAGCTGAGGAAGACATAGTTGTACGTCAAAAATTGTTGAAACAACGTCCAGGGCTCTGGGCATGCGTTTAGGAGACGGCGCCACAGTCTCAATCGCGCTCGTCACGGCTTCGCCTCTTGGCGCCTTCAGATTTTGCCACCGCGGAACAAACAAGCCGACAGCCGCCGTTTTTTTGGCTTTTATTTTGATGTTTATGTTAGCCTTCTCTTTCCTGAGGAATATTGCCTAAAAGTAAAAAAAAAAAACAAAAAAACATTAAAGACGTTCTCAATTTTCTGTAATGCCTAGTTAGAGCACAGCCCTTGAAGAGATGGGGGGAGGGTAAGGAGAGGAGTGTATGCCCCTCTTCCTTCTCCGCTAAATTTAGCGGGGAAATCCTTCCGCTAAATTTAACGGGGATGTTTTACCCTCGTGACGCCAGACTTAACGTCACGAGAATAAATTTTGCGGAAATATTTTTCCGCCATATTTAGCGGAAAAATTTGCCCGTTAAATTTAGCGGGAATAGTGGCAATGTTAGATTCGTGTGACGAGTCTAACATTGCCACTATTCCCGCTATTGACGTCAAGAGAAGTCATACGCTACGTGTTGCCTATAGTGACTTCACACGGGACGTCACGCGTGACGCTATGACGGTAACGCCGTGACGTTACCCTCGTGATCCTCACGCGGGTAACGTCGTGAGGTTAAGGTATTAGGGTTAGGTGAGGGTAACCCTAATAAGGGTAACCCCCGTGAGGGTAGACGTCGTGACCCTCGTGAGGGTAACCCTTGTAACCCTCGTGAGGGTGATTCTCCTAACCCTCACGAGGGTAACCCTCGAACGTGACGTCGCGTATGACGTCATTATGGGAATAGCACCCGTGCCAATCCATAGGTCGTAGCTTTTCACGTGACTATGCGCTCGTTGCGTCGCACTGCCCAACTGGACGGGCACCTGATCCCCTCTGAGCTACGGATTGGCTCCGGTGGCTCGTAGCGTCTTTTGCGGTCCATAGTAAAGCGAAACAATGAGTAGAAGTGTCCGCCACCGCGCAGACTCGGACGTGAAATATTTTTGTTTGTTTAATTATTATTGAGCCGCCTCCACGTCGCCGCCGTTTGTTTAGTCGACACTGGGCCGCTGACGCCACAGTCGCGAATATATAATTGAGTTCGCTGCACCACCCGGAAGAATGCTCGACTCACATTTAATTACGCCCAACCGTTTTCCAGTGAACCGATAACTGCCACATGAGATTGTGGTTCCGTTCCGGTTCGGGTTCAATATTAAATGCTTAATTTCGGTTACTCTTTTTTTTCCCCGGTTCGGTCAAAAGTAACAACTTTTCTTCGGTTTGGGTTTGGGTTTCGGTTCGGCTCGGCACCCTGGTGGATAGTCAAGAGGTCACACAGGCGCGTTCTTCTTGCTACAGGCTTTGTGAAGTTCTGGGTTCGATCCTTTTGTAATTGTAATTTTTCATTCCTTCATCTTATGTTTTTCTATGATTCTTATCTGCAGTCAGATTCCGTAACCTCATTCCACAACGAATGCGAGCTGCAGGGGACGATCAGCAAGGTTACGATGTTTACCACATGACAGATGACCAGGGTGTGCTTGAAACCTAAACTGTATCGCTATCACCTGATGTAGTAACGAAAAGCAAACACAAGAGTGCCTTTAAATTACTCAGTGTTGTTTTTTTATCGCTCTCAATTAATTATTTTAAGGTCAATTGACAGTTGCATATTAACTCAATCTTTTTAAATAGCTACCGAGACGTTTTGTTGCTGATGCTGCTCAAGGGTGTCGCATGGTCGTTTCAGACAGTTAAAAAACAAACACGACTTTTAAACGTTGTTAGTAAAATGCAGACGCGATAGTTTGCCCTTATATTCGGGAACCAACGTCTTTCTGGTTTAAAAAAAATTAGGAAAATTAAAATCCGACAGATACATTTTTTATGACTCTTTTAACCTGTTAAAGCCCAGACCGTACAAAAAAAAAAAGAAAAAGAGACGTACCTCAGCAAACACAATCTGAGCCGTGGAATCCATCTTCCCGTCGACACGAGAAAGTCCGGCAAATGTCTGCCTTGCCTGGAAGAGTCGCCGTTTGTGAGCACCAGATACGGTGCTCCTGCCTCGGTCATTGTCCCCGTCCACTCAAGTGCGAATTTCGCTACCTTATTATCTGTGCCGAAAAAGAATGCCTTATAACCCCTTTGTGGCGACTCGACACGAAAACGACTTCTACGCCGTTTAACAGTTCAGGTACGCTGCCTTCCCAGCCAATCGAATTCAATGCGATTGTCACGTGACGTTCGGGAGGGACAAACGACAAACGGGATCGCCTCATATGCTCAGATCGCTCGATTATCTCGTATGTCTGCCTCGCATTGAGGCAGTGCCAAATCAAGCCCCAGCCCGCTGAATTACATCTTCCTATTCATACTGACTCCTGTGTTTTTCTCCAGAAACGTCTGTGTTCTGTACCTTTTAATTGAGGTGCGTCTAACTATTTCTCTTTTGGGGCCCCATTTATAAGTTGCATTACAGCCACCATTCCTCGAGTGTTTCTTTCCATCAACCACCTAACAGATCGTTTGTTTGCGAACAGTAAAAGTTTTCAACATCTAACCGGTTCAGCAAACGCATTCGTCCACTCACCTGTTCCACGTGGAATTTGAGCTGGAAACGACCTTTCAGCGAATCTCTATAGCGTTTATCAGTGAAGCCCCCCCCCCCCCCCCCCCCTTCCCTGTTCCGCGAAAATCTCATGACAGTTTTGAGCGCAGCTGTTAAAGGGGTTATGACACGAAAATTAAACGGATAGATTATTCTTGAAATGGAATGCTCATAGACTACTTAGTATATTCACCAAGTTACGCATTTTCTAGAGCTCTGATAATTGCAATATTCAATTTACGAATTTTTATAATTTTCATCTGGCGACCAGGCAACACTGCTCAAGTTAGTCACACCATGGTGTCCATAAACCACGTGACCATGAACACTCTCTCATTCTAGGCGCCCCCATGATCGCCCAAGCTCTTCTCGTCGCGGTACGAACAAAACCGCTCAAACAGCTCGGTAAACTGAAAGCTATTCTCGCTCTCGCCCCCGGCCAGTTGACCTTCCAGCCTGCATGCGCCTGCGAGACATTCCCGGACGACGGTGACCACGGCGAACTCGTCGTCGCTGGAGCTCGTCGCCAGCGGGTCGCAGTCAAAATGAACAGCTTCCAACATCTCTTGATAGCAATCACTCTCATCGCTGCTGCGATCAATGTCAAACACTTCGACAAGGCGATCGATGCCGTATACGTAATCGTCACAGACCGGATGCTGAAAACGTGGAAGGTAAACGAGGAAGCTGAGGCTCGATACGCCAAGAGAGCCAAGTCTGGGCGTGCAATTAGACAACACGCTGGAGGCTGGCTACGTCATCAGCCTCCAGGTCCGCCCGGATCTGCCCCTCCGAGGGGCCCGCATATAAATCGATTTATCCACGAAATTGTCGCTCCTTTTTCAAAACAAATTTAGCAGGATTATAGGAACATACAATGGTTCCTAGCAGTATAGTTATGTAATATTTTATTTTTGGCGTGTCATAACCCCTTTAAAGGGATACTACAACGAAATTTCGGCGTTCATTTTTTGGTCTATATGTGTTCAAAAGAGCAGTATCACATGGAACATACCAATATCTTGTTAAAAAAGTCTCGAAAAGGAATTTTAAAACGAATTAAACGGTTAGCAAAGAGCACCTGGTGGATGTCGCTAACGCCTCGTTTGTAATGCTCGTCTAGGAACCTTGACAGCTAGTGACGGAGGTTGTCTCGTCTCCGGCCACGACGAGAGAAGGGTGGAAGGAGGAACTCCCCTCTTCCCGAGAATCCCTTTTGTGTGTCGCAGAAGTCGCTATTGTCCCCCTAGAAGATCATAGAAGATTAACCCGTCACTCAAAATTCGTACAAAAGCAGCCGCTTCGGTGGCTGGAACGACTAGGCCATCCTCTCGACGTCAGCCTCGCCGTAGCTTTGCTCGTCTTGAGATGACCTACGTCACGATTGCGTTCGATGTCACGTGGTCTCCGCTGGGCCTTCTCCGAGCACTTGCCAGAGTAGGCCGTTTATAACGAAAAATACAGCCACCAGGATCAAAATACAAACGTGCGATTGTCATTTACGGATATTGTGGATCATATTCAACCTATTTTTGAACACGACGGGAATATTTCAAATTTTGTTGAAGCATCCCTTTAAAGGGAAGATGGGGCACTTCTACATTTGAGAAAAAACGCTTGAATTGCGTTCATTTGACCTTGAGAATAACAGATATCACTATTATATTTCAATGCGACGCGCCGGAGAGCCGTAAGAGCAATTTGAAAATAGGGCTGAAGCCCCGCCTCCCTAGCCTTGGCAAGCCAAAAGATCCGTCGATGACGTCACGGACAGCGACTGTCTTTCGCGTTTTTCTCGCGTTTAACAATACTTGCGCGGGAAATGGTTTTGGTATTCGGGTTCACGAGGTAAGAATACACTAGAATTCACTTCTAACTCATTTTTTTCAAGAAGCTCCGTAGCTTCCCTTTAAGGGCCGGTATCCGGGTTTTTGCGGCGTCGGCGTAGGTGTCGCCGTCAGCGTAACCGCGCTAAATTTAGCGGGAAAATTGACGTTACGTGGCCTCAACACAAATTCAATTCCAATCTAGCGGAGAAAATGACGTCACGTGACTTAGGGCCACGTCACCTATGAACAAACTCAGTTTCTCCGCTAGATTTAGCGGGAAAATTCACGTCACGTGACCTCAACAGCAATTCGATTCCCCGAAAATTTCACCTTGAAAATTGACGTCACGTGACCTCAACACCATCTCAGTTTCCCTGCTAAATTTATCGGGGAAATCGACGTTGCATCACTTGGTGTCACGTCACCTATGAACAAATTCAGTTTCTCCGCCAGATTTAGCGGGAAAATCGACGTCACGTGCCCTCAACAGTAATTCAGTTTCCCCGCTAAATTTAGCAAGGAAAATGACATTACATGACTTGGTGTCACGTCACCTGTGAACAAATTCAGTTTCTACGGTAGATTTAGAGGGAAAATAGGTCTCACGTGACCTCAACAGCACTTTAATTCCCCGCTAAATTTTAGCAGGGAGTTGAATTGCTGTTGAGATCCCATGGCGTGAATTTTTCAGCTAAATTTAGCGGGGAAGCTGTGGGAGGAAGGGAGGGTATGGAGGGGGAGGAGGGGAGGATACGCAGGAGGTGGAGTAGGAGGGGAGCGTATGGTGGAGGAGGGGGAAAGGAGGAGGATAGAAGAAGGAGGAGAAGAGAGGAGTAGTAGGGAAGGGGAGGATGAAGAGGGGAGAGAAGGAACATGGAAGGAGGAAGAGGGCAAAGGAGGAGGATGAGTAGCGGAGAGAAGGATGAGACGGGAAGAGTTGTTAAAAGAGTAAGAGGATGGAAGGAGGGGGAGAGGAGAGGAGGGGAAGAGTGGGCGGGACGGAGGAGAAGGCGAGGAGGAGATGATGCGGAGGTGGAGGAGAGGTATCCCCTCCCCTTTTCCTCAAGAGCTGCGCTCTAATTTCCCATTGCACAGATTTGTAAACGTCTTTCATTTTTTTCTTGTAACCTGCATTCCCATCTGGAGGTGCAGTAGATTAAATATATTTCATATACGAAACTATAACCTATCCATTCGTATTTGCTTCTTTTTCTTACTGCATCCGAAGTGTGCAGTCATGTGGATACGTATAAATATTATTTATTTTCTCTGTTACATTCTGAGTAGTACTTATTTCCAATTTATGTTGTACTTTCTCGTCTTGCATGTTGCTTTGCTCATATCTTAACTTTTTCTAATTTTCTTAGCTACTTTTCCCCTCTTCTTCCCCCTTTTTTACATAACAAATGCTCTTAACTATTCTGTAAGGCACTATGAATAAATTAATGTACTCGTAGGCGTCCGCTGCGCTCAATCGCATGCGTAAAACGGAGTGTGGACGAGACAAGGCCTTAGCGTACGTTTCGTGACGTCATCTAGGTGATCGGCCTCGCTGTATTGAGCTGAATTAAACTCATTGCGCATGAGCATTTTTTTTTAAATTAGCGGGCAGTTACAACGTTTTCCAGTGAAATGAAATTTTCTCCCTACTTTTATTAACACATAAATAATTTATACTCTAATTTCCCTAAAAAATTGTAACGCTCGGCTGTTACGCTGCACAGTCAAGCTTGGGAGTAGCAGGCAATTAAAATTGTATAAAGCGTATAGGCATACCCATAGGGGTCATTATTACAACACAAATACAAGAATAACCCCACGGGGACCCAACATGAGAACAACTGATACCTAGCCAGATACTATTGGGGAGGAAGTCAGCCCATGGTGCCTCAAGCGGCTAACTTTAGAATTACACGGATGGGGACAACAAATAAAAATGACTCACGCCGCGTCAGCGTTCGGATTTAGTTCGTGTTCCTGGGTCACCCGAGGGGGAAGAGGGGCTCTTTTGTTACAACTCCGGCCTGCATGAACAATGCAACATGCACCTAGCTCAGCACTAAAGCCGTAGTGGGTCAATTAAGCTCGCATTATTCTCTGACGACTGCTTTAGGGAGGGATCCGGCACTAACAATAAACGTCACTTTGTTTATGGTTAGTATTTTTACGTTAAAACGTGAACATGCCCACAAGGCCTGTGGGCATGTCACAGGCTTTTTGTTTTGTAAACAGCGAGGTGTCGAGACAACAAACGCGCCTGAGCGCCCCCTATAGTTTTATCTCTTCGCCAATACCGACATATATTCCGATTGAGCTGTGCAGAATTTTTTTATTTGTTTATTTATTTGGGAGGATTAGGTGCCCGGGGAGAGCAAACAGTTGGTTTATAAAGTATATAATTTAGACTAGTTTGATGATGTTGACAGATGCAAAGTGACACATACAGCGTTGAGCTACCTTACACATAAAGTGTATAGTTGCATCGGCCCAGCACATCAGTTCCACCTTCCATCACAGACAGAGAGCACTAGCAACTAATACACTTCATGCGTGTGTTATGCAATTATAACCTAAATCCTGTGCAGTGTGCTTTGATGGGCTAGTTGGTTCATGACTAAATGGAACAGCGCGGAACATA